GGCGCATCACTTATGGATATATGGGGCCAGCCTTGTCTGACTTTCTGCTTCTGGGTTTCCAAAACCCTTTTGTGACTTTGTGTTCAACTCTCATCCTAATGACATTGACCAGGTTCCCTTCACTATCTGTTTATCTCTCTTAAGTTTCATTCTCCAGCCCGACAATTCAGCAGACCTGAGTCATTCCCCATCGTTTGAAGCGGTCCGTGTTTCCCTTCTGCATCTCTTTGTTCATTTGCACCTGAGCCGTCACACTCTGCTAGGGTTTCTCCTCCTCCACTTCCTATGTTTTTCTAATTTTGTTGAAGCTTTCTTATTTTTTTTCTTTTTTGAATTGATTTTTTGTGCATTCCATACAATAAATCTTAATCATCTTTATACCCCTCCCCAAACCGCCGCCCCCATAGATTGCCCCACTGGATTTCATGCATTCTGTCATATATGTTAGTGCCTATAGAGTCAAGTTAGTGTACCCTTATGTCTCTCAGTGCAAGTCCATCCACTGGGCAGCAGGCCCCAATCTTAGCCAAAGAACCATTGGCAGCTGATTACTGCTGGGTGAGGGAGAGTTGATATATCTTTATAATTTTATAGAACTTTTGTATATTTCGCACAACAGTTCTTAATCAGTTTAGACTCCCTTCCCCAACAATAAATGCCCCCCATCCACATTGGGCCTCTTGTATTCCACCATGCTTGTTAAGTCCCATTCAGTCAAGCATTTGTACCCAGATGTCCTCTGGTAAAAGTTCATCCACTGGAGACTATTGAGCCTATTTAGAGGTCTTAAGGAAGGTCTACTCTCCTTCACCCAGCAGCAATCAATCTTCAACAGTCCCCAGGCTAGGGCCAGCCTGATGTCCATTTCCCCTGCTCCTCTCTGGGCCCTTGTCTGATTAAGTTGGCATAGGTCCTGTGATCGATGCCACCCTTGCTACAAGTTCACATGTGTAAGCTTCCAGTGGCCTGAAAGCCTCTGTTTCCCTGTTTTCCTGAACCAGCCCTGGCTCTTAAAATCTCCCACCCCCTCTTCTGCAATGGTCCCTGAGCTGTGGGTGGGTGAGGTTTAATATAGGAGTCCTAGCCAAGGACTCACACTCTGCAGTCTCTTATTCTCTAAAACTTAGCCCGTCGTGACCTTCTGTGTGCATCACACTCTGTTGTATAAGGAAGCTTCGCTGGTGAGAATTGAGGGATGCACTAGTACTCTCTACACCCCCTGTTCCACTATGTTCCGTGAGCCTTAGGTGTAGTGGTTCCATTGTAGATATGTCACCTGGGGTGGGCATCTCTCAGATATATTGTCTCTGTGTGTGACCAGTTGTGGAACTCTGCAGTAGCCTTCAACTGTTGCAAAAAGAAGCTTCTTTGATAAGTGGTATACAGAATACTTGTCTGTAAATATAAGGATCAATATTTAGGATATGGTAAGAAATTTCATTTGTCTAGAGATATGACAGAGATAGGGTTTTCTCTAGGATCTATGACTCTCAAGTCATGTATATTTGGCTATAATTACAGTGCCACCCCTGAGTTCTCTCCCATTGAGAGGGTTTTAAGTCCAATTAGATAGCTGTTGATTACCTTCCAGAAAACAGTGCCATTACTGCGCCAGTAGAGGTAGTTTGCTGTGCTGGTCATTATGGTTTTTTGTCTTTAGGGCTGGGTTGGACCATTGATTGATTTTCTCCCTTAGCAGCTTGCATAGGAAACAGAGGGAAAGGGAAAGAAAAAGTCTGAGAGAGGGGGATAGTAGGAAGCAGATGTTACCAAGGGGGAGGTGGGGAAAGTGAGAGTGTTTGGCTGGGAGGGAAGAAGGGAGGGATGTACAGTGGACCATTGGGGTGGGAGAGGAGGGACCTCAGGAGAGGGTAATGGGGGGAGGATGGGTATAATGGGGGCACTTGGACTGGGGAGGGAGGAGGGAGGTTGGACAGAGGGAGGGAGGGGAGAAATGAATGGAGCTTGGGTGGTGTGGGAAGTCAAAGGGAAATGTGTTGGCTTGGGAACTGCCTGAGAAATAGACATATGGTATCTGAGCATTAATCCATGTGTGTACCTGGGGCTGTATGGCAAGGAGTACAGTGCCAGACATGAGAGACCTTCCTTCGAGTGGTTGGTCAGGGTTGTCTAAGAGATTCCCAAAATAACACAGGCTATTGCCAGAGTCCTTGGTTAATTCCCAGAACTCAAAGTTCTGCTGAAGGCAGGACATACGTTGGACACAGGACTTAGAGTAATGGAGCAGGAACTGACCTGGAAACCTTCTCCCCAAAGACTAGCTCTCATAGTTCTGGAGGATACTATGCAAGCTGCTAAGACCTCAGTGGAAGCTTTCTTCTTATCCTGATCATAAATTGTTCTCAGTACTTGAACCTCCTCTTTCTCTTCTAAATTCATTCAGTCAGGGCCTTCTAAATTTTTTTTTGACATATGGCCCCTTTCATCTGAGAAAATTTTAACTGGCCATGGATATATAGGCATATGAGATAGGTATGTAAAACAGGCCTGGGGAAATGGCTCAGTAGAGCACAGCTGTAATGCCAGTGCCTCTACACTGAGATGGTAGGCACAGACAGGGGGAACCCTAGAAGCTTGTGGGGCCAACTAACCTGATATGCATCAACAAACACAAGACTGTCTCAAACAAGGTAGAAGACACGAACCAACACCCAAGATTTTCTTCTGACTTCTACACATGCCATGGCATGAGTGCACACACATGAACATGACGTATATGCATATCATACAGACATACTAAAAAGTAGTTAAAAAATTAAAAATTATGTATGCAAAAAAATCTACTGATAATAAATAAAAGAAATTGATTTTCAAACATTCTTTGGTATACATAGAATTTTATTATTTATTTTTATTTCATATTGCAGTTTATTTTGTGTGAGAGAGAGAGAGAGAGAGAGAGAGAGAAGATGCCATGGCACACATGTGAAGGCCAGATGACAATTTCTAGGAATCACTTCTCTCCTTCCACCATGTAATTCAGGGATTGAACTCTGGTCATCAGTCTTGGCAGCAAGTGCCTTTACGCCCGAGTCATCTCGCTGGCCCCGGATTTTAATGATGTATTAAAGAGTAAAACAAGTTTGCATATTAATAAGATAGATGTACCTGCTTGTTTTATATAAAGAGTTAAAGCTTGGGCAATGCACAGCAGGAGTACAGCATCTTCATCTTTTTTCAGGGTTGACTGATATTTCAACTTCATCAATGCTGAGAACACTGAACACGTGAAGACGTAAATACAAAGTTCAAAATGGCTGAAGTCTGTTTAGGGCCATTTCAGAAATTGCTAGAAATTTCTCATAGTCCCAAGCCCAAAA